AAACGCTGTGGCTGCTGTGGCTCCCAGTGTTTTCTTTACTTTGGGAAACGGGTAATAACAGCTCTTTGATTGGAAAAAAGCTGCCAACCCCTGAGCTATACGTACCCATAGAGAAATTGTGAAGACACAATAACAAAATATCTAAATGCTTACTTTTGCATACTGAGCTCTACGTCTCTTAAAAAAACTCACAAGAATGAAAAATAACCTTTGGTTTTTTTATCTGTTTAATTGCACATTTAAAAAACTACAAGCTTCATATTTTTATCTGAGAAAAATCACATTAATGTATCATCTGCATACATATTGACATACAGATGAATCTGAACCAAGAGTAGAGCCTTGTGGGACCCCAACAGAACAGTCAAAGATTTAATCGCTCTATTCCGACATTAGACTTTAAATGGAGTTACAGGTAAATTTTTGGTAAAAAGTTGGGTCCTGTTATAATTTGCCAGATGTGGAAAACACCAGTCAATAAATGATTTTCTATGGGAATTTAGGAGCAAGTTTGTGTGTGTGTGTGTGTGTGTGTGTGTGTGTGTGTGTGTGTGTGTGTGTGTGTGTGTGTGTGTGTGTGTGTGTGTGTGTGTGTGTGTGTGTGTGTGTGTGTGTGTGTGTGTGTGTGTGTGTGTGAGTACATGCTTACTTTGGTCTGCATAGTTCTTGATCTTGAGTTCAAGTTGACGAGAATGAGACTCCATTTCTGTCCACGTGACTCTGCAGGTCCTTCTTTTCCTGCTCATTGAGTGTCTTCAAACTCGATGAACTTCTACTCAAAGACACACACACTACACACACACACACACACACACACAAAAGAAGCCTAGGTCAGACACATGAGCATCAAATACTAATGCTATTTAAGTAGAACATGTTTTGCTTTAAATTTTTAACCATCTCATCACTAAGATATGAAGACTTTGTAAAAAGTGCAAATGACAATCAAAGATGATTAAACCACAAATATACCTGTATGGTAAATGGCCTGTATTATATAACACCTTCTAGAGCCCTGGAACCCCCCAAGGCACTTTACAACACAATCGATCATTCGCCCATTCACACACGCATACACACACTGGTGGGGATGAGCTACGATGTAGCTACAGCTACCCTGGGGCGCACTGACAGAGGAGAGGCTGCCGAACACTGGCACCACTGGTCCCTCAGACCACCACCAGCAGGCAAGGGGGGTTAAGCGTCTTGCCCAAGGACACAACGACAGCGACAAACTGAGCAGGGGTCAAAACTGCAACCTTCCGATTATGGGGCGAGCACTTAACTCCTGTGCCACCATCGCCACTAAATACATGTATATCTGGAAGGATAGTTGCTACCAAGTAATTTATTACCTAGCTACTGGGGTATTTAACAGTTTGCAAACATACAGAGTATTTAAGTAAAACAATTCTAGTGAGCCAATGTGACTTTCTACCACGAATTTCATGATAACGGATTTGAAAATGTTTAAATTACGATCAGAAATCTAAGTTCCTTCCACCTTCCTTTTGACATGACCTCTGACTAGAAACCTGTGTGCGTGTGTGTGTGTGTGTGTGTGTGTGTGTGTGTGTGTGTGTGTGTGTGTGTGTGTGTGTGTGTGTGTGTGTGTGTGTAGGGGTGCCGTAAAGCGGTGAAAGATTAGGAAGATTCTAAGGGCCCACAGCTGTCAGGGGCCCAAAAATGTTTCAAAGTTGAATAAAAAAAATGTTAAGTTTAAAAAATCACAAGTACTTTACTTTGCAGTATTTCTTCTCATTTAAGACATTAAACAAACAATCTTTTAGTCTTTATGAAATGTATATTTATTCAGAGGTCCCTACTTTATTTTGACTAATTAATTTGAAACACCCCCCCCCCCCCCAACGGCATTAAATGGTACAGTCCACCTGGCCGGGGGGCGCGCAGCAGGAGAGGCTAGCTCACGCAGCAGTCAGTCAGCAGAGTGCGTCAAGGCTGCAGTAAAAATATGTCTGCAAAAACAAAGTCTGGGTCACAGAAAAGGAAAGAAAGAAAGGAGAAAGAGGACAGGCAGAAGAGAGGGCGTCAGTATGTCACACAGTTTTTCTCAAAGAAAGGTGGGTTTAGTTAGTGATTGGTTAAATTCAACCTGTTTGCTAGCTCTGATATTCACAGTGAGAGGAACTACAGTATGTTTCATCTAATTATGGTAAATGGGTTGTCCTTGTCCCTACCAGAATCAGCAGCTGGTGATATGTCAGCAGGTGTCCCCTCACAACCCAATGAACCTCAAGAAGGTGAGCAATGTAGCATGCTAGCTAGCAGCCTCATTTAAGGGGGTCTATGGGAATCACTTAAGGTTCTCTTCTCTATCAGTACTATTACAAAGGAATATAAAAAGGCTATTTTTGGTGATAAACACATTGTTTTTCCACATAATGATAATTATAAATATCAATCAGTAAAAATGTATAGATTATGGATGCTGGGCAGGTTGAAGCATTATTATTTAGTCTGTTAATGTAACATAAATTACTGTGAGATTATTACTGTGAAGCACCTTTTTGAAGGCACCATACAAGAAAAAAATAACCCCTCTTCATCAACTAAATACCTTGAAATGAAATGTTTTGAATCTGACTGAATTATGGGAGGTTTTACAAGATGTAATTTGTTTATGTAGCTTTTAGAACACAAACCAAAAATCCGTAATTTCCAAATAATTCATCAGAGAGCAAAAATGAAACAAAAGCTGTTAATAATTGTAATAAATAAACTTAATATAACATTGAACACAATAAAATATGAAATCTAGCATTGATCATTATCCAGCATTATTAACTATATCACTGTAATAAATCTTGCTGTGTACAATCAAGGCTGAATATATTTTTAGCAGTTGTTTTTTTTTTGTTGTTGAGGAAAAATGGGTGTCTAGAGACTTGTATACTTTTCATTCAAAGTTGTCCAACAACTACAATTTTATGTAACCCTAACTGACTCTGGTTTGAACTGTGTGCTTATTCATTTTGTGTCTATGATGAAGCCATGGAGACTTAATAAAGAAGTCACCTTGTGAGCAGTGAATCCTTAATTTTTGTCAGTCGTACAGAAATACTTGGATTTCAAGAGGAAAGACAGCTGAAAATGAAGTTATGTAAAGCTTTGACACAACATGGAAATTTAATTAGATATCCAAATTTGAATTTTATCATCAAATAAAATTTTTGAATAAATAAACACATTTTAAGGGAGTAAAAGGGAAAAGGAGATTAACACCTTTCAGCATGTGCATTTCCTGCTTTATCCAGCAGTGATATTGCTAATTCTGTTGAAGGAAATTCACTGTTTAATGAGAGACTGTCATGGTCTGCGTCTGCCCCTTCCTTCATGTGCCTCCTGGTGTTCTCCATCCCTCTCTAGATTCCCTTCTGTGTCTCATAGCGCCCTCATGTGTCCTTTGTCTGTGTCTCAATATTGTGTCTTCTGTTTGTAGGCCTTTTTATCATTCCCTCAGGTCCGGTGTTCATTTAGTTATCCTCTGTCCCTCCAGTTGCAGCTCCAGCCTCTTGTTCCCCAGCCCGGTATATGTGTGTGTGAGTTATTTATGTCTGTGTGTGTGTGTGTGTGTGTGTGTGTGTGTGTGTGTGTGTGTGTGTGTGTGTGTTAGTCCTTCCCGCAGCCTTTTAGTTTGGATTTGTAGTTTTAGGTTTATTTGTCTTCCCCGGGTTCTGTTTCCCCATTTAGGTAATTATTGTCACCTGACTTCCCTCCAGCCCTCACTCCACACACCTACTTCCTGTTCCCTTAATTACTCCTCCCTGTTATTTAAGCCCTGTCTTGTCTTTGTCTTGTGTCGGTCCATTGTGGTAATTCTGTCAGTCTTCTCGTGTTGTCTCTAGTGTTTTGATCTCCTGCTCAGCTCTTTTGGATATATTGGTTTTTTGGCTCCAGCCCATTTGGATATATTTTTGTTTCATTCATCCTAATAAAAGGATTTTACTTTATATCATCTCCTGCCTCGTGTCATCTTGGGTTCCTGCATTTTGGGTCCTACCAACACCGAAACGTGACAGAGACAGCTGGTGAAAATGATATGTAAATGGGTAAGAATGCATGTAGACCTATATAATTAAGCAAAACTGAAACACTAATATAATATATATATATATATATATATATATATATATATATATATATATATATATATATATATATATATATATATATACATACATATATATATATATATATATTCTCCCTTCGAATCTGGGAGGGTGGAACCCCAGCTCCAGCTATGGACGAGCCCCCAGGGGGCCCAACTTGATATTTTTTCATGGGGCCCAAAATCTCTGGCAGACCCCCCCCCCCTGTGTGTGTGTGTGTGTGTGTGTGTGTGTGTGTGTGTGTGTGTGTGTGTGTGTGTGTGTGTGTGTGTGTGTGTGTGTGTGTGTGTGTGTGTGTGTTTGCTGCCATTCTGTCCAGCTGAGCAAGCCAAAGCCCTAATGTGGCTCCTGTCTTCCTGCGGGCACACAACTCTTTGTGGCTTTGATGTAAAAGGATTTACCAAGCATTGCACAGCAAGACACTGTCAGAACCTGACGGTAGTGAATAACACATGACCGTGTATTCATCTCTCTCACTAGGGATGAGCGAGTACACCACTATCTGTATCTGTATCTGTTCAACCAACTAAATGATCTGTATCTGTATCTGTACTCGGAATGGGCGTGGCATAACCGGAAGTGGGCGTGGTTTAACCGGAAGTGGGTGTGGTTTACATCAATATATTATTTTTAGTCTGAAATTGATATGGAATGATCAGAAGTTGATGTGTGTATTGTTTATTTGAAAACTATTTACAGAGCAGCCTCAGAATTGAGATTAAATATTTTTGATCACAATAGTAAAGAAACTGTTACAGAACAAGTGTTTCAATAAAATTAGAACATTAATATTTAAGTGCATGGATTAATACATCTGAACTCATGCAGTAGGAACTAAGAAATATGAAATTCTAGAACCAGACATAACTTTATGAATATTTTTTTATTTTAATTTGATTAAACTGATTTTTTTCTTAACGTTCTTGGTATTTTGCCCCACACAAAGTTAAACAAAACAATGTTGATTGAGGTGTGTGTGTCTGAGAGAGATAGAGAGGGAGAGAGATGGAGTTAAAAAAAATAAAAACCCGACCGGAGCGGAGGTACTTGATGCAGAACGTCAGCTCTGTCTTGTCAAATGCACCATGTAAGTTACGAAAAAAGTAACTTTAAATATTCAACCGAAAAAGAGGCGAGCTGAAGAAAACCTAGGGAAAACTGAAGAAACGTGAGCAACAGTGAAGCAATCACAGTGAGATCCGTTACTGTCTGTGTGTGTGCGTGGATGAACCGGACGGACTGCGCTCCCGGCCGGCTGCAGAGTTTTGTGTGTAGGGAGGGGCGGGCGCTCTATGTGACTGGCCAATCACAGAGCGTGAAAGGATTTTTCTTCAGCACGATTAAAGATATTTACCAGGTTTACTCGTGTCATGCTCATATTCGTCAAAAATGCTTTATCCGTACCGGATACTCGTCTGAAACGAATATCCGGCTCATCCCTATCTCTCACACAAAATAACGGAGATTTGATGAAGGAACACAAACACAAACTTGGTATTAAAGGAGCATGGGGCAGGATTTGTACAAAATCAAAAACAAGATAGGATGTATATTCATTCTTGTGAAGCTAATGTGTGATGTTACAAAACAAAAAGGATGAGGCCACCCATGTGTCATTCCATTATCTCGAACAGGCTGTGTGCTGCAAAATGCGCTGCAGTTCGGCCACCAAATTTCCCGTGCAGTCCTACGGATGTGACGTCAATTGACAAAGCTTGCGCGTTCTCGACAGTTTTAAAACAGGAAGAAAACTTTGTCCACACTCCAGATCGCTAGGTGGCGGTAATGCGCCATAAAACTCCATATAGTAGAAGAAGAAGAACTATGTGAAGGGATTCTACCGCAACAGACACAAAGAGGAGGCAGGTTTTATCAGCGACAGTCAAAAACCAAAGGAACCCGATTATATTTTGGATACACGATGGACGAGTGGAGGCTGCTTCATTACTGACATGGCTCATTTCCTGCCAGGTAAGAAACGTCTCAACATAGCAGAGATGTATGTCTGTGATTTTGGCTAACTTTAGGGATTTGGTTATTACTACTTTAGATTAACTAACATCTTTGTGCAGAAACCTCTGAAAGCTAACAGTGTTTAGTGTTAAGCTTCCAGGTCAGTTTGAAATATCTAACGAGGCTGCACTTCTGACGGCTGAAGCACCCAGCTATAACAGTATCTCTTCTATGTTTTGTGGGTATATGTTGAGGGATCTCAATTCAATTTATGAAACAAAAACAATGACAATAATGAAAATAAAATAACTATTACCCAAGGGGGTTATTTTATGTAATTCAACATTGATATTTGTGTTCTTATTTACGTTGTTGTGATGCCTTGTCCCGTAATGCAAACGGTTTACCAAATGATCTCAGTGGCTTGAAACACTGGATATTCTTACATGAAATTAGCTTAGCTTGTTAGCAAGCTTTATCCAAAATGAAACCTATAATTAGCCTAAAACCATCATAATCACCAGCAGCCACAATGCCTTATGCTCATAAATTAGCATCATGATACTGTATAGCTCACCAGTCACAAAACCGGCTGCTGTGTTTGTCAGAGGAAGGTACACTTTCTTTACATCACGAGGGTCATGGATAAATGAAAATGCTACTGTCAGGTTAGCCTAAAGTAATATTGTTACTTACATAGTCGCTGGACACGGTGCTTGTTTTCATACCGGGCAGCGGTCTGGCAGCACGTCGCTGTGGAGTTTTTTTTTTTCCTTCAGTAAAGAGTTGGTGCGCGCTCCCGTGCCAAGCTGCAGTTCCTCACAGCGCCGAGCGCGTCGCTTATGAGTTTTGTTTCTTCATCCTGCCCCATGCTCCTTTAAGTTATATGTCTACAGCTGATTACAGATCCACCAAGTGATTAAAATTTTTAATTTAAACAGTTGGGAAGACTGAAAATGTTTTTAATAACCGCCTGTGTGACCATCATAGTTGTACCCTTGAACTAAGCCTGTATCTAGGGGTGGGCAATGTAAACGATATGAGGTAGAAACAATATAAAATTGGGTAATGATAAGAGTTTTGGCTATATCGCAATACCCGATATCGCGATTATAACACATGACGTCACTAAGATGTGCACCCTGCTGACATTGGGGCAACAGAATGGCAGTGACAGCAAGCATGGAGTAGGCGGAGGAGGAGGCCTATATGCCTCAAGTGGCATATATTTGCCACATGAGGATATTTAAAAGCATGTCATTTTGACATATAGAAACAGAGGAAAAAATATATCGCAATATATATCGTTGCCGCACATGCTTCAGATTATATGGCAATATAGATTTGAGGCCATATCGCCCAGCCCTACCTGTATCCTCACATTTATCTGAAGATTAGTGGAAGCAATGTTGTAATATAATCATCCGGAGCTGTTTTATGTCTTTACTGAGTCAAAAATGCATTTGCTCAGAATGCTAAACGGAGTGCAGATATTATGCTTTGTTACCTCCAACCTGGCTAAGCCAGTCAGTAAACGATTCCTCTGGACAAATATTCCTATAGCAGCTTCATTCCTTTGGAGATCAGCCTGTGGGCACTGGAATCCAAGACAATGCCGGGAAGGAAATGCTAAATAAAAAAGATGATGTTAGAACTTTTTTTTTAAACAAAGGATCACATGACCTGGAAGTAACGTCCTGCTCCTCCAGCAGCCGTGACACAACCTCTTCTCAGTCCTCTGCAGTCATTCCCAACACAAGTCAACAAACACTAGTTTCAAGTATTTAAATGTGTATTAATATTAGTGTGTGTGTGTGTGTGTGTGTGTGTGTGTGTGTGTGTGTGTGTGTGTGTGTGTGTGTGTGTGTGTGTGTGTGTGTGTGTGTGTGTGTGTGTGTGTGTGTGTGTGTGTGTGTGTGTGTGTGTGTGTGTGTGCTGCAAACTGGGCCAGTTTCCCTACTGTGACAATGCCACGGGCCAAGGAAGCAAACTGCGACAGACTCGCATCACATCCTTGACGGAAAGCAGACACTCAACAGAAACACCACAACCAAGGAGTTTCACATCAGTCTCCAACCATTTAAACCTGGACTGGAAGAAGTTTTCACAAAGTCTGTTTATGTGAATCAGTGAAACACAGTTTTACAAACTACAAATACTGAGGATGTGCAAATTAAGATCAGTGTATTTCCCACCTGAGTCTCACAAAAAAAGAGAAAATGCAGCGAGTAGTTGTCATAGTTAAACCAATACCTCCAGATGTCTAAATTAGGGCCCGACCGATATATCGGCCGATATTGGGGTCATTAACAGTATTGGCTATCAGCCAAAAAGATGGCCGATATGGCCAATATTGCGCTACCTATTCAGCAGATGGCGCCAACTTTATGATATGAACTCATGTTGTGTGGCTCCACACCTTTGAACTTTGAACAGAAATGATTATTGTGGAACCTTTTTTTATTTATTCTTATTTATGTTTCTTATGTGCAATTATTTCCTGTCCAGGGTGAATAAGTTCACCAAGTAAACTTCCACAGAGTGTTACTTTGTTACAAAGCACAAGTATTACCTTTTATTTATTGCTGCATTTTTATTATTTTAATATTCTTATAGGGATCTTCTGTCCCTAAGCTTGTGTGTGTTGTTAGATTCCCCAGAGTTAGCTAAGTCTGAAAAAACATGTTGTAACCAGTTGTTTTAGCATAAAGCAATGGAAGGGAAGGCTTGCATTCACCTAAAAAACACTACGATGTATGTGAATTCAGTTACATTGTTTTATGCTAAACTAAGAAAACCAACTGCTGCCAGATCATATTGGGCTGGTTATAAAATGCTTTTTCTGACTTGTCTAACTGGGGAATCTTAGCAAGACACAATTTTACTGAGTGGTGGAATATTCCTTTAAGTTAAAATGTATTTGTGGAAAGCACAGTTTACAAGAAAAAACTTGAATGTTAGATTTATGCTGTGTGTTCTGTTGTTTTTGAGATCTGCTAAATAAATCTTATTTGCATTACTTGGAAACCCTAGTGAGTTATTGAGACAGTTCTTTGGTGTGTAATAGAGAAATAAGTTTGCATCAAAAAGGCAGAGAATGAAGGGTTTAAGCTTAAGAAATGTTTTATTTCTTTTTTTTTGTGAGGGAGATTTATCGGCCATTATATCGGCTATCGGCCTTTGTTAAAAGTTTTATATCAGTATCGGTCCCAAAAAAAGCATATTATGCCTTTATTATGATTCTTAGTGGGCTTCCTAAACTTATTTTGACGTGGCTTTTTCTGTATTATTACTCATAGCAACAAGTAAACATCACGTAAAACGTTGCCTTGTGATTTCTGCATGCTGCCGTTTACGTGTTTTATGATCACAGCAATTAACCGGCTAAGCGGTATTTCATTTTTAATCAATGGTTGATCAATTGTCAGATCACACTTAAAAAGCAATTTGGATTGCTATTATCTGTCTCACCGAGACAGAACTCAGACAGATCCTGAGATGCTTCTGCCTGACATATTTATTTTATTCACGGAAAAAAATCAGACTAGTGATTTCTCTTGGCGTTCAGTTTATACGTTCAAACAGCACAGAACTCTATTTAAACTTCTTACATGTAAATCTATGTTATTTGTGTTTCTGTTTAATTAGTTTTATAAATTATAAATTCACAGGATCTTTCATGGAGATAAAGTCAAAGAGTCGGAGTTACCGGGGTCCCACCCTGGAGCCAGGCCTGGGGTTGGGGCCCGTGAGCGAGCACCTGGTGGCCGGGCTTTCACCCATGGGGCCCGGCCGGGCCCAGCCCGAACCGGATACATGGGCTCATCCAACTGTGGACCCACCACCCGCAGGAAGAACATGAAGGGTCCGGTGCATTGTGGATCGGGTGGCAGACCAAGGCGGGAGCCTTGGCGGTCCGATCCCCCGACAAGAAAACTGGTTTTTGGGACATGGAATGTCACCTCGCTGGCGGGGAAGGAGCAGGAGCTTGTGGCAGAGGTTGAGCGGTACCGGCTAGATATAGTCGGACTCACCTCGACACATTGCATTGGCTCTGGAACCCGAGACCTGGAGAGGGGTTGGACACTCTCCTTTGCTGGAGTTGCTCCAGGTGAGAGGCGGAGGGCTGGGGTTGGCTTTTTGTTAGCCCCATGACTCTCTGCTTGTGTGTTGGGGTTTACCCCGGGGGACGAGAGGGTAGCTTCCCTGCGTCTTCGGGTCGGGGAACGGATCCTGACTGTTGTTTGTGCTTATGGGCCAAATATCAGTTCAGAGTACCCACCTTTTTTGGAGTTCCGCGGACGAGTGCTAGATAGTGCTCCATCAGGGGACTCCATTGTCCTGCTGGGGGACTTCAATACTCACGTGGGCAATGACAGCGTGACCTGGAGGGGTGTGATTGGGAGGAACGGCCCGCCTGATCTGAACTCGAGTGGTGTTTCGTTATTGGACTTCTGTGCAAGCCGCAGTTTGGCCATAACGAACACCATGTTCGAACATAAGGATGCCCATCGGTACACTTGGTACCAGGGCAGCCTAGGTCGCAGGTCGATGATAGACTTTGTAGTCATATCATCTGACCTGTGGCCGTATGTTTTGGACACCCGAGTGAAGAGAGGAGCGGAGCTGTCAACTGATCACCACCTGGTGGTGAGTTGGATCAGATGGCAGGGGAAGATGCCGCGTAGACCTGGCAGACCCAGACGCATAGTGAGGGTCTGCTGGGAACACCTGGCAGAAGAACCTGTTAAGACGGTCTTCAACTCCCACCTCCGGCAGAACTTTGACTGCGTCCCGAGAGCAGTGGGGGGACATTGACTCCGAGTGGGCCTTGTTCCACTCTGCAATTGTTGAGGTGGCTGTTGCTAGCTGTGGTCGCAAGGTGGCTGGTGCCAGTCATGGTGGCAACCCCCGTACCCGTTGGTGGACACCAGAGGTTAGGGGAGCGGTCAGGCTGAAAAAGGAGGCCTAAAAGGCGTGGCTGGTCTGTGGGTCTCCTGAGGCAGCAGACAGGTACCGGATAGCCAAGTGGGGTGCAGCAGTGGCAGTTGCCGAGGCAAAATCTCGGGCGTGGGAGGAGTTTGGTGAGGCCATGGAGAAAGACTATCGATCAGCTCCAAAGACGTTCTGGCAAACTGACCGGCGCCTCAGGAGAGGAAGGCAGCAACTCGCTCACACTGTTTACAGTGGGGATGGGGAGCTGCTGACGTCAACTGAGGCTATAGTCGGACGGTGGAAGGAATACTTTGAGGAGCTCCTCAATCCCACCTATGCGCATTCCGAGGAGGAACCAGAGCCGGGAGACCTGGGGATGGACTGTCCAATCTCGGGGGCAGAAGTTGCTGAGGTAGTCAAACAAGTACACAGCGGCGGAGCCCCGGGGGCGGATGAGGTTCGTCCTGGGTATCTCACGGTTATGGATGTTGTAGGGCCGTCATGGTTGACACGTCTCTACAACATTGCGTGGTCATCGGGGGCAGTTCCTGTGGAGTGGCAGACCGGAGTGGTGGTCCCCATCTTTAAGGAGGGTGACCTGGGGGATCACACTCCTCAGCCTCCCTGGAAAGGTCTACTCCAAGGTACTGGAGAGGAGGGTCCGATCGGTAGTTGAATCTCAGATTGAGGAGGAGCAATGTGGTTTTCATCCTGGCCATAAAACTGTGGACCAGCTCTATACCCTTACAAGGGTGATGGAGGGGGCATGGGAGTTTGCCCAACCAATCCACATGTGTTTTGTGGATTTGGAGAAGGCCTATGACCGTGTCCCCAGGGGCACCCTGTGGGGGACGCTCCAGGAGTATGGGGTGGGTGGCTTTCTGTTAAGGGCCATTCAGTCCCTTTACCAGAGGAGCATGAGTTTGGTCCGCATAACCGGTAGTAAGTCGGACCTGTTCCCAGTGAGGGTTGGACTCCGCCAGGGCTGCCCTTTGTCACCGGTTCTGTTCATTACCTTTATGGACAGAATTTCTAGGCGCAGCCGTGGTGTGGAGTGTGTCGAGTTTGGTGGCAGGAGAATCTCATCTCTGCTTTTTGCGGATGATGTGGTCCTCCTAGCTTCATCCAGCTCTGACCTTCAGCTATTGCTGGGTAGGTTCGCGGCAGAGTGTGAAGCGGCCGGGATGAGGATCAGCACCTCCAAATCTGAGACCATGGTTCTCGACCGGAAAAGGGTGGCTTGCCAACTCCGGGTCGGGGGAGAGGTCCTACCTCAAGTGGAGGAGTTTAAGTCTCTCGGGGTCTTGTTCACGAGTGAGGGTAGGAGGGATTGGGAGATCGACAGGCGGATTGGCTCAGCGTCTGCAGTGATGCGGACGCTGAGCCGATCTGTCGTGGTGAAGAGGGAGCTGAGCCAGAAAGCCAGGCTCTCGATTTACCGGTCGATCTACATCCCAATCGTCACCTATGGTCATGAGTAGTGATGGGTCCAGCAACACCGACACACCGGCGCATGTGTCAAGCTCATGGAGCAAAACCTGTGTTGATGCGTGTGTTGCTTAAGAAAAAGTCACGTGACCAACACTGCTGCTGTGTCGCTCATTGCCAAGGCGCCAAACTGTGTTTATAAGGTATCGACTCTGCATCTGTCAACGGGATGAGTCGCCACGAAAAAATTACCATTTCAAAGATAAAACAAGACATCCCTCTTTACATCAAGAAAATGGAGCCAGAGAGAAAAAGAAAAGTTTCTGCTGTGTGGGATCATTTTGATCTTTTAACAGCAAATAAGGTACGTGTTTGTCTTTCCTTGTTTCTGCGCATCTGTCAGAGTTGAAAACAGCAATGTGACTGGCTCTCAGTGTAAATTATTTATTTAATTTAATTAGGTTAAATGTCGGATCTGCTCAGCGGAGTTGTCTTATACAAATAAGAGCACTTCCTCAATGCTGAGACATTACAGAGTCAAGCATGAAAACGAAGAGGAAGCAAATACACCAAGAACGAACACAGGTAGACCTATATAGACACTGGGCGTGCTTTGTCACAGTTGTTTTACTAATATATGTTTTATTATTTTGAAATCTAGAATCTAGGAAGATTGCTCTGGACCAAGCAGTCCTGAATTTTATTATAAAGGACTGCCAACCCCTGAGCATTGTGGAGAGTGAGGGGTTCAGGGGGTTGATTCAGGTCCTTGATCCATCTTACGTTATGCCAACCAGAAAGGTTTGTATACACAATGTCTCAGATAGCTGCTGTTACATGTAATATATACAGTGCCAAATGAATTAAGACCATCGTCTGATTTAAGGTTTATGACACAGCAAAAAAATAAAAATAAACACTTGTGATTCAAATATTATGCATGCTTGAATAATTTCCGTCCGGTGTGTCAGCTCACATTTGGGTATAAAACTGGATTCAGTTTTAAATTCCTACCTTCTATTCAACAGGGCAAAACACAGAGAACTTCATAGCTGGATGTTTTTCTTGCTTTAATGACAGGTGGTCTAATTAATGTGTTGAGTACTAGACTGATTTGATTTTGATTCATTTTCAGACGGTTAAGGAAATGATGGCCAAAAGGCATGCGGAGGAACTCGAACGAGTAAAAAGGGAAGTACAGCAAGCTGTGGCAGTGAGAGTAACAGCTGACATGTGGACCTCCTTGAACATGGAGGCTTACTTAGCTCTTACCTGTCACTACATCAATGATAATATGCAGTTGTGTACATCTGTGTTGGGAGTCAAACACTTTCCACAAAGTCACACTGCTGACAATCTGGCCAAAGTCAAAAGGGGCATGATGGATGACTGGGCCATAACAAACAAGGTAAGGTGTCTTGTGACCGACGCAGCACCAAACATGATAGCAGCAACACGAACTCTTCAAATTCGACATTCAATCTGCATTTTGCACACAAACTAAATTTAATAGTCAAAAAATCCTGTGATCAGATCCCTGAACTTTCATCCATAAGACACAAATCTAGGCAAAATATATCCTTCTTCAGATCCAGCACCACAGCAAAAGAGAAGCTAGCTCAAGTGCAGCAACAGATGGGACGGCCCACCTTGAAACTTGTCACTGAGGTACCAACACGTTGGAACAGCACATATCAGATGTTGTCACGGCTACATGATGAGAAAGAAGCAGTGTGGGTATCTCTTGCCTCTCTCCAAACAGATTTAACTCCACTCACAGCTGATGAGTTCAACATCTTAAGGGAAGCACTTCTTGTGCTGGCCCCTTTCCATCAGGCCACAGTGGAGTTGTCTGAGGAGAGGAGAGTTTCAGGATCAAAGGTCATCCCGATGATGAAAATGCTAAATTGCGCACTTGAGCGGAACTCTTTACATCAACACACACAAGCAGCCACACGTCTCCACGACCAACTTAGACATCGCGTCACAGACACTGCTTCCATTCTGGAGTCATTAAGTGTGTTGACCCTATCAACACTTTTAGACCCCAGATTTAAAACACTCGGATTTCGTAGTTCCTCCGAGTGTAGTGAGGCTGTCAATCACCTGAAAATGGAGTGTGCTGCAGTAATTGCTCACACAACATCTGAGCCACAGCCTGGACCTTCATTAGAGCAGATACCCACTTCAGGCAAGTTGTTCAGTATTATCAGTTTATTTTCACATTTGTTTTGTTGCTAATGTGTATTAATACAGAGTAGAAGACAAAAACTAAAACTTCTATGTATTTTTTATTATTTCAGATAATCTGTGGCAACAGCTTGATCAAGAGGTTGGCAGACAAACCACCAATGCAACAGCTGACTCGATCATTGAGGTCCAGCGCTACTTAGCAGAGGGAAACATTTCAAGACAAGAAAATCCATTAACATACTGGGGGAACCGGAAGACATCCTACCCACACCTTTTCCACCTGGCTTTACAGTTTTTGTGTACCCCAGCTTCTTCTGTGCCCTGTGAACGCGTGTTTTCGAAAGCTGGTGAAATAGTGTCCAAAAAACGCAATAGACTAAATACCAACACATTGGATAAACTTATTTTTCTTAATAAAAATTTATAAACATAAAAAAACATTTGAGTCAATGACACTGAAATGGGTAATATCACATTCACAGCACTGTCACTTTAATTGTCACTTGGTATCATTCACAGAATATTTTGAGGTGTGTATATTTTAAATTTAGAAGTTTAAAGTAATACCATATGAAGTAGGCCTACAATAGCTTACAGTGTATACAAGGATGATTAGGTCATTGAATCAGTCTGTTGTGTCTCCAGTATGTTGCCTGCAATGATATTTAAAGTCCAGTAGGTGTCATTATAGAGCAAAACAGCAGCAATGTGTCGACACAGTATCAATACTATTTGGGGAATGTGCTGAAACGCTTCATGAGGCTTCATCTACCCATCACTAGTCATGAGCTTTGGGTAATGGCCGAAAGAACAAGATTGCGGATACAAGCGGCCGAAATGAGTTTCCTCTGTAGGGTGGCCGGGCTCAGCCTTAGAGATAGGGTGAGGAGCTCGGACATTCGGGAGGGACTCGGGAGTAGAACCGCTGCTCCTCCGGATTGAAAGGAGTCAGTTGAGGTGGTTTGAGCATCTGGTCAGGATGCCTCCTGGACGCCTCCCCGGGGAGGTGTTTCGGGCATGTCCTGCCAGCAGGAGGCCCCCGGGTCGACCCAGGACACGTTGGAGAGGTTACATCTCCAATCTGGTCCGGGAACGCCTTGGAGTCCTGCCGGAGAAGCTGGTGGAGAAGGCCGGGGAGAGGACGGTCTGGAGCTCCCTAGTTGGGATGCTCCCCCCGCAACCCGGACCCGGATAAGCGGAGGAAGACGACGACGAAATTATAAATGACAGGGCATCTCAAATCCGGTGAGAGGTCCACTCCGACAGCTTCTGGCATTTTTAAAAAGTATCCCAGGGGCATGGTAAGGGTCAAAGATGTTTAGTCTATTTAATTTCTGACTATATAAAACAATAAAACAATTTCTTCGGTTTTAAAGTGTGAAGTAAACTCAGACGGAGTAAAGTCCAAGCCGATCCCGTTCATTTTGTTTACCTTTGTTGCCTGCCAACATGGTGTCTACTCTCTGAGAGTCAAATGACGTCTGGAGCTCTATAGTTCTTTAGAGCACTTAGAAATTATAATTAGAGGGATGGCAGGTTGAAAAACGTCTGCAAAGAGAATTTTTTGGGAGTTTTACCCTAAAAGCTTCATGTTACCCATCAGGGTTACCCAATGATTTTACTCATCATCCTCCTGAGTGCCTCAGATTAGAGGCCGACCAAAATATCGGGCCGATATGTTCAATCATTTCAATATCGGCCAAAATTATTTTTAAAAGCCGATAGAAAAAAATAAATAAAAATCAGGCACCTGTGTGGCAAACTGCCGCTATTACTAGACTAAAGAAAGGGCCTGAAGGACCCCAACACACCGTTTATTTTTTAATGTTTTGAGTTACTTTGATATTTGAAGTTCAATAAATATTAAGTGATTTATTGACTTATCTAATTTATATTTTACACGTTGTCTTTCACAATCAATGTGCTGCTAAAACGAATATATACCAGCCTTAATAATCAGCTTTAGATATCGGCCATCAGCAACAACATTCTTTAAAAATCGGTATCGGCATTTTAAAAACCATATCGGTTGGCCTCTACCTCAGATCCCTCTAGCCTCTACTTTTACATGAAAGTATTTGTGGATATGTTTTAAGTTTACATACACTTGCATATATCTGATGCTGTTTTGATGGGCTGGGTGGGTGTTTGTCTTTATTTCATTTCAGATAATAGCAATCATTAGAAATTCATTCTCTTGCAATATTTGATGTTTAGGTTCAATCTGACTTGTGAAAAAAGTCACTTATGTATCAATAATATAAATGACTGTAAAACAACATTTTTGCTCATACCAACATTAATAAACAGTGGTATAGCTGATTTTGTACACTAGTTTAATTAAAATTTGTTGCAGGTAAATTAAAATTATTACAACAAAAAAGCAGACATAGGCTGACCGGTTCTATTATTATTATTATTATTATTATTATTATTATTATTATTATATAATCTATATCTAGTGAATCCGGCTTAATTCTGAGAAAATTTAGGCCTAAATAATGCTACAACCCACTGTTCTTTCCCCCATCAGCTCTTCTTTGATCCAGATGTAATGATTTGGCTGTTTAGTGTAAATATAAACCATAGGCTGTACATACATATAAACACATACGCTACAGCAGAGGACCAAAACGCTGAGTCACGTTACCCAGGCTCTCAGACGTGACTTCACTATCTGATGCAACAACAGCTGACAGATAACAGGTGTGTCTGCTGAGGGGACGTGCGTGTTTGTTGTGGCTGTGAGTTAATAAGCCCCGTATACATGAACAAGGCCGGTTCAGGGTGGTTTTAGACCCACTCTGCCTTGTTTACATCCCGGCTGAGCTGCGTGGATGCTGCCGGGCCACATGTGCAGGTTAATGCCGGGCCACGTGTGCAGGTTAATCCAGGGATGCTGGGAGGAGAGGAGCACCTTAGGCGGCTCCCGTTAGCCTTCTAATCGGGTTTGTTTGCATCCCCAGCTCCTTGTGTCAGCTCACCTCCTCCGCGTGTTTCCTCAGCGCCTTTTCCCGCTCGTACTGGGTGATAAGCTGCTCGTTGTCCTCCTTCAGCAGCTCCAGCTCCACTTCGTGCTCCTGGTTCTCGGCGAACACCGAGTCCAGGTTCTCCAGGACGGCTACGACCAGTGGCATCAGCTCCTTCACCACGTCTTCGTCGTATTTGCCAATGAGTCTCTCGAACTCGCGGTAGATGGAGTTGGCCAGGCCCGATACCCGCTCGGACATCATCGCTGATGTCCCCGGGTCGTCCTGGTACACAACACCGTCTTCCAGCTCCATTTTAGTCCTGTCGGTAAACAGAGCAAGCCCGGGTTTTATTCCACGTTAGCCCGCCACTCTGGAGAACTGTAACCCCCCTAATTAAAACACACACACGGACACATTGGGAAGAGCGCTCCGATGTGTTATTACGATGCAAGACCAGCTACGTGGATGTCTTCCTATTTATTCCTGTTGTTCCCGTGCTGCATTCAAATGCTTTCTAAAAGCTCGTAATAACTAATATTATTGTAAACCAACTAATATTTCCTTTTTAAACACAACTCCCCCTGCCGATTTTTTGTTTTACAAACATGCAAATAAACAAACCCATTATCAGGGATTAATACCAACATAAAACATCGCAATGAGATCACACACCTACCCAGTAAACAAAAACACAATTTATGTCTTGTTTGTTTTCTTTTTAATTGTTTAGTTTTAAAAACACGAGACGTTTTAACAACATTTAGATGTCCACAATTTTTCATCTGGAAGATAGCAAAAAGCTCAAGTCAATGGATGTTAGCTTCGATGTTACAAGTTAGCAGCACCGTATTTCCGACTAGCTGTGAATCTATCATCCAACAGCTGAGTAGTCGTCCTGGTCACGTGATGAAATCATGCTACTAACGTAGATCCAATCTAGTGACGCATATTTGTCAAAGAGTAACCCTTTATTTTATTTGATAATTTCACTATATAAACAGTAAAGAGTACAAACAAAAGCTAAACGAGAATTGTTTTCTTTTTAAAATGTATTTGATTGAAAGTTGATCATTTCTGCTATAATTTGTCAATTTTTCCTCATTGGGGAAAAAAGTGGAGTTTGAATATGCTGAAATAAGGTCAAACTTTGCGCTGATCATTGGTTTCAGAATAGTAAACAGAACTATGGCTCCCTCTTGTGTCTGGTTTTGTTTTGTAACCTGTTTTTATTGGACCACAAGATTCAGAATATTTCTCAGTGTTGCTCCAAACCTCCAAACTGAACAGAAATGTGAGCATTAGGAACTAAACAGACTTTTTTTTTAAATGCCATAACAAAAATTCTGTCTACCTCTGGTCCTTTTACAGATTCAAAACTGGACATGGTGATATTTGATATTCATCAAAGACTTTGAGTGCAAGAACGTGTCAGCATAAAACCAAGATTGAGAGTAGCATTATTTTTAACGCTGACCAAAGTGGTTATATCTCATCATTTCTCAACGTACGATCATGTGGGTTTAGAACTCTGATACGAAACAAAATAAATTAATGGAATATTTCTGTAATGATGTTCATGAGAGTCTTTAAACATAAAGCATATCCAACTACAGTTCTTGTTGAGTTTATTTATTTCATGAATATAATGCCAAGACTTTAGCATCTACATTACCTGTTATTATCCATCCATCCATCCATTTTCTACTGCTTAACCAGAGTGGGGTTGCGGGGCCAGTAGCCTAAGCCGAGACATCCAGACTTCCATCCCCGCAGCCACTTGGGCCAGCTCTTACGGGGGAATCCCAAGGCGTTCCCTGGCCAGGTGAGAGACGTAGCCCTCCAGCGTGTCTTGGGTCTTCTCTTGGGTCTCCTCCCAGTTGGAGGTGCCCGGAAAACCTCACCAGGGAGGTGTCTAGGAGGCATCCTAACTAGATGCCCGAGCCACCTCAACTGTCTCGTCTCGTCTCGTCTCGTCTTCCTCCGCTTATCCGGGTCCGGGTCGCGGGGGCAGCATCCCAATTAGGGAGCTCCAGGCCGTACTCTCCCCGGCCTTGTCCACCAGCTCCTCCGGCAGGACCCCAAGGCGTTCCCGGACCAGATTGGAGATGTAACCTCTCGAAAGTGTCCTGGGTCGACCCGGGGGCCTTCTGCCGGCAGGACATGCCCGAAACACCTCCCCGGGGAGGCGTCCAGGAGGCATCCTGACCAGATGCCCAAACCACCTCAACTGGCTCCTTTCGATCCGGAGGAGCAGCGGTTCTACTCCGAGTCCCTCCCGAATGTCCGAGCTCCTCACCCTATCTCTAAGGCTGAGCCCGGCCACCCTACGGAGGAAACTCATTTCGGCCGCTTGTATCCGCGATCTCGTTCTTTCGGTCATTACCCAAAGCTCATGACCATAGGTGAGGATTGGGACGTAGATCGACCGGTAAATCGAGAGCCAGGCTTTCTGGCTCAGCTCCCTCTTCCCCACGACAGATCGGCTCAGCGTCCGCATCACTGCAGACGCCGAACCAATCCGCCTGTCGATCTCCCGATCCCTCCTACCCTCACTCGTGAACAAGACCCCGAAATACTTAAACTCCTCCACTTGAGGTAGGACCTCTCCCCCGACCCGGAGGTGGCAAGCCACCCTTTTCCGGTCGAGAACCATGGTCTCAGATTTGGAGGTGCTGATCCTCATCCCAGCCGCTTCACATTCGGCCGCGAACCTACCCAGCAAGAGCTGAAGGTCAGAGCTGGATGAAGCTAGGAAGACCACATCATCCGCAAAAAGCAGAGACGAGATTCTCCTGCCACCAAACTCGACACACTCCACACCACGGCTGTGTCTAGAAATTCTGTCCATAAAAGTAATGAACAGAACCGGTGACAAAGGGCAGCCCTGGCGGAGTCCAACCCTCACTGGGAACAGGTCCGACTTACTACCGGCTATGCGGACCAAACTCACGCTCCTCTGGTAAAGGGACTGAATGGCCCTTAACAGAAAGCCACCCACCCCATACTCCTGGAGCGTCCCCCACAGGGTGCCCCTGGGGACACGGTCATAAGCCTTCTCCAAATCCACAAAGCACATGTGGATTGGTTGGGCAAACTCCCATGCCCCCTCCATCACCCTTGCAAGGGTATAGAGCTGGTCCACAGTTCCACGGCCAGGACGAAAACCACATTGCTCCTCCTCTATCTGAGATTCAACTATCGATCGGACCCTCCTCTCCAGTACCTTGGCGTAGACCTTTCCAGGGAGGCTGAGGAGTGTGATCCCCCTATAGTTGGAACACACCCTCAGGTCACCCTTCTTAAAGATGGGGACCACCACCCCGGTCTGCCACTCCCTAGGAACTGCCCCCGATGACCATGCAATGTTGTAGAGACGTGTAAACCATGACAGCCCTACAACATCCATAGCATTGAGATACCCAGGATGAACCTCATCCGCCCCCGGGGCTCCGCTGCTGTGTAGTTGTTTGACTACCTCAGCAACTTCTGCCCCCGAGATCGGACAGTCCATCCCCAGGCCTCCCAGCTCTGGTTCCTCCTCGGAATGCGCATTGGTGGGATTGAGGAGCTCCTCAAAGTATTCCTTCCACCGTCCGACTATAGCCTCAGTTGACGTCAGCAGCTCCCCATCCCCACTGTAAACAGTGTGAGCGAGTTGCTGCTTCCCTCTCCTGAGGCGCCGGACAGTTTGCCAGAACCTCTTTGGAGCCGATCGATAGTCTTTCTCCATGGCCTCACCAAACTCCTCCCACGCCCGAGATTTTGCCTCGGCAACTGCCACTGCTGCACCCCGCTTGGCTATCCGGTACCTGTCTGCTGCCTCCGGAGACCCACAGACCAGCCACTCCCTGTAGGCCTCCTTCTTCAGCCTGACGGCTCCCCGAACCTCTGGTGTCCACCAGCGGGTACGGGGGTTGCCACCACGACTGGCACCGGCCACCTTACGACCACAGCTAGCAACAGCCGCCTCGACAATCGCAGAGTGGAACAAGGCCCACTCGGACTCAATGTCCCCCACTGCTCTCGGGACGTGGTCAAAGCTCTGCTGGAGGTGGGAGTTGAAGACCGTCTTGACAGGTTCTTCTGCCAGGCGTTCCCAGCAGACCCTCACTATGCGTTTGGGTCTGCCAGGTCTACGCGGCATGTTCCCTTGCCATCTGATCCAACTCACCACCAGGTGGTGATCAGTTGACAGCTCCGCCCCTCTCTTCACTCGGGTGTCCAAAACATACGGCCGCAGGTCAGATGATACGACTACAAAATCTATCATCGACCTGTGACCTAGGCTGCCCTGGTACCAAGTGTACCGGTGGGCATCCTTATGTTCGAACATGGTGTTCGTTATGGCCAAACTGCGGCTTGCACAGAAGTCCAATAACAAAACACCGCTCGAGTTCAGATTAGGTGGGCCGTTCCTCCCAATCACACCCCTCCAGGTCAAGCTGTCATTGCCCACGTGAGCATTGAAGTCCCCCAGCAGGACAATGGAGTCCCCTGATGGAGCACTATCTAGCACTCGTCCCAGGGACTCCAAAAAGGGTGGGTACTCTGAACTGATATTTGGCCCATAAGCACAAACAACAGTCAGGACCCGTTCCCCGACCCGAAGGCGCAAGGAAGCTACCCTCTTGTCCCCCGGGGTAAACCCCAACACACAGGCAGAGAGTCTCGGGGCTAACAAAAAGCCAACCCCAGCCCTCCGCCTCTCACCCGGAGCAACTCCAGCAAAGTAGAGTGTCCAACCCCTCTCCAGGTCTCGGGTTCCAGAGCCAATGCTATGTGTCGAGGTGAGTCCGACTATATCTAGCCGGTACCGCTCAACCTCTGCCACAAGCTCCGGCTCCTTCCCCGCCAGCGAGGTGACATTCCATGTCCCAAAAACTAGTTTTCTTGTCCGGGGATTGGACCACCAAGGCTCCCGCCTTGGTCTGCCTCCCGATTCGCATTGCACCGGACCCTTCATTTTCCTCCTGCGGGTGGTGGGTCCACAGTTGGACGAGCCCATGTATCCGGTTCGGGCTGGGCCCGGCCGGGCCCCATGGGCAAAAGCCCGGCCACCAGGCGCTCGCTCACGGGCCCCAACCCCAGGTCTGGCTCCAGGGTGGGACCCCGGTAACCCTCCGGGCCGGGTACTCCGACTCTTCGTATTAACCGCCATGAAAGATCCTTCGAACCGTTCTTTGTCTCACCCTTCACCTAAGACCAATTTGTCATGGGAGACCCTACCAGGGGCACTAAGTGCCCCAGACAACATAGCTCCTAGGATCATTAGGGCACTCAAACTCCTCCACCACGATAAGGTGACGGTTCAAGGAGGAGCCACCTCAACTGGCTCCTCTCAATGTGGAGGAGCAGCAGGTCTACTCCGAGCCCCTCCCGGATAACCGAGCTTCTCACCCTATCTCTAAGGGAGAGCCCAGCCACCCAACAGAGAAAAATCTTTTTGGCTGCTTGTTTCAGTGATCTCGTTCTTTCGGTCACTATCACAGCAAATTGAAAAGTGTTAA